ATTGTGGGGGAAACAGCAGATTAGGTCACCCTGCCTTTATTGATCGGAGTTCACAAGCTGCTGAAGAAAAAGAGGAGGAATTTCATGTTGCCAAATTTCCGCATTCTTTAACTCTTTTCTCCCACTTGTTTGTCTTCACCCACCCCTCTCTCTTGCTGTCTGACCCTTTCATTTTGTCATCTCTCCTTTACCCTCTCACTCTTGCACCCTAAGATCCCCTGAGTGGGCCCCTGCAAGCCTCGTCATTACCAGGGCAGGAAAGTAGGAGGGGGTATGGGGGGCTCAGCAGGGCCAAAACAACAACAACAAGAAACAACAACAAACGCCACAACCTCCAAATAATCGGAATTCCTGCAGGGCTGCCAACCTATTGCTCTGCCTGCAGCCCTCCAACCAACCAATCATTATACAAAGGAGCACAATGTTGAGCCAATTACTGCTGCAGGCCTACTTTGGCAGATCTTTTTGTCCTCTCAAAAGCTGGTGCCAACATGCTGTGGGGCCAGGGAGGGGTGGTGTGGGGGGCTCCCCTTTGGAGGTCATTAAGATTAAAGCGATAATACTGGGAAATTCTAAATCCAGATTCACCATGGTAAATGAACAGACTCTGACAGTATATGTCTACAGTCCAAGATTAACATACCTCTCTAGAAACATGAATTTAGGTAATCAGTGAAGGTCACATCACATCACAGAAGCTGGATTTGAGTCCCCAGAATGGGTTGAGCACTCAATCTTAAAATTCCCATAATGCAACTCAATAGTGAGGATATCATCAGGGTCAATCTCCATGACTAATAAACCAATCTTCATGAGTAAGAACGTTCCCTTATATTATTCACTTGACTTTTTTCACTTTCAGCATGAGCAATTCCGAAAACATTGGCAATATATGGCAATATAATACCAATATAATAGGATCACTGACTCAAAGTCTACCAAGAAAAGCTGAGCTATAAACAGGCCTTTTCAAGGATTTAAAATTAAAAGAATATACTTTGTATAATCTATCACTGAACCAGTTTTCTTTTTTCATTTTAAAGCTTTAAAGCCTTTGTATTAATGTATTTTTTGCAGAATTACCAAATTTGTGAAGAGTTATTACATGATTGCCCCTACATATTGTATTGTACTCTTAATCATTTAATGAAAAACTAAGGGGATGATTTCCTATTTTTTTACAGCTGGTGTATGTTGGTTACATTTCTATTACATTTTATATGGTCGAGCATTGATCACAGTACTGATAATAAAAGACAGTTGATTATGAAGTCCTGGTGACTATGTGGTATGTGCTGACATGAGAGCAGGCTGGCCAATGAATGAGGACAATAAAACAGATAACAGAGAGAGAGCAGCCCACGATGTGCTTAGGTAGAGGTGCAACACAGCTGAACAGAGGTGCAGAGGCTAAACCTCATCTGATCAATAGAGTATGTGGGTCAAACTGCCCACTGACCTGTCTAGGTTTTATGCCACAAAGCACCTTCTTATTCATCAGTGCTCTGATTCATACTGGCCATGCAAAAAGTGCCTCTCATTCTGTGATTCCGCACTGATGCAATTAGTCAAATGATCTGTTATCTGTTATTGACAATAAATTCAAATTTTTCATGAGTAATGACTCATTTTATTTATCTTATACAAACAAAAAACATGCTAGTACATGCTTCACCAATGCAGATTCTGAACAATAATTTCAGATAGCAGTTATATCTGCCTATTTTAGTACTATCCCAGATTTATCGGTGTATGTGTTGCCGATTGAGTAACAACACATTGCAGTAGATAAATGCCAGAGTTATAGATTAAATCATTTAGAAAATGTACCCATTAGTTTTTCCATCATTATCTTTAAACTCTATTATTTAATCAAAAATGTCTATGTTGTGTGATTATGTAAAAAATCCGATTTGTTATACTCTCAGACAATATCAGTATCTGCCTCAAAAATCCAGTGTAGTCCGACTGTACTAAAAAGATGCTTTTTTTTTTCATTTCTTTAATGTGAATTTAATTTTTTTGGTTATTTGGTTGCTGGTTTGACATTCGATAGGCTAAATGACAAATTTAGTAATTGATTAATCAAAACAGTACTAGATTAACCGATAAAAAAGTAATCATTAGTAGCAGTCCCTAAAGGCCTGGGGCCTTACAAGGGAAATGGCCAAGCAGCAGTTCACTCATTAACACATCAGAAACTTCAGAAGTTATATAACATAGGACATCCCACAACTGTGACAAAGTAAATCACAGTAAACTAAAAATTAATAACTCCAATAATATCCATTGCAGGTATTTAGTCCTCAGACTTATGGATGCCACATTTTGTTTTGTTTTCAAGATACATGAAAAAAACTAATCTCAAATCTCATATACAATCAAATGCACTGTTTTGCTCTGCTGCTTCTCTAAAGGGATCTGATTAAAGGTAGCCACCACTGACAAGAATGGCATGGCACTGAATAACTTGAGAAGAAGAACTCAGGAGAGAAAACAAACACTCATGCTTTCAACTCAATGCAACTGGGACGTGGCACATTAGCGCATCGACCCAGAGTATAACACTGTAGACAAGAGCGCGAGAGAATCCTCTGAGGGAAGAATTAGAGTGGGTGTTGGAGGAAGAGAGGTCACACTAAACACACACAAACATTACGGGGTGCTGGATTTCATTATCACAACACAGTGAGGCATTTTTTTATCAGAACATCTTGAATGTGATCCAACATGGGGCCACACCCCTGTGTGTGGACACAAGGCACATGGGTCAGTCAGACCATTATCAGGAATGAGAGAGAAAGCTGAGAACTACTGTTCAGGGTACTGACTTATGTAACTGTCTTAATGAGCCTCATATGCTTTTTATTTTGGTCCTATCACTACTGGGATCCATGGTACAGTACTGAGTGCTCTTTGACCCCAAATCACAAGACTGTACTAAGAACCAGAGGAACAGTTAATTGCTGTGCTACCACTTCACATGAAGCTCATAGAGCATGAGAAAGATAATCTAATTTTTGCTTATAGGTAGCCCTCTGCTTTTAAACAGTGTTATTGATTATTGCTTACAGTTACTGTCAGTATTACGATTTAATCACAAATTTAAGATCCTCTCGAGTAAAAGTCCAAGAAGAGGATATGATTTGTGGTGACAAGGCTTTGGCTCTACAGTGATGTGGCACTTCTGCTGCTACTCAGATAGAAAATATTACATAATGCACAGATGCTGCTCACTCTGACAAGCAACATATCAGTGCAAGGGCAGCAGGCAGAACAGCACAGGAGCTCAGGTGTTATTCCCAAGGAGAGAGCAAGGGATTTGCATGAGCTGTTTTCCCTTTCAAACATCCTCTGCGGCAAGCTGACCAACCTGGCCCAAGTTGGACCAATTCCACTGCCTCACAGTCAAATAAGGAATAAACAGGAAGTTCATTAAAAAAAAACAGGTTCATAGCCTTGTGTAACACCTTGTCCTAAAGCTGGCTTGAAATCTGTCAGTTTGTATGATTATTATTTATTTTTCAATAATCAGTAGGTCACACTTTGATCCAATGCAATGTCCAATGTGTCCAATGTTTCAAGGAACAATCCCAAGGTAGTTTTCATATATGTTGCTTTATTAGCCACTTTACAATGCAGATACACATGAATATAACATTAAATCAGGCCCAGGACAAAGCAGATACAACTCATTCTTCAGCCAGCTGAAAAACCAGGATGCCCTGTGACCAAATGTGTTCAAGTGAAATGGTGTAGCAATTGAAGAAAAATGTGAATAACAAAAAACCTGAGTCATTTCTAATGGGAAACATGTATCGTTCAAGTTGTTCAAGATCCTCTCTCACAACAGAGATAAAATCATAACATGCAAAAACTTTTCATCCTTCATTGTGACAAAGCAAACGTCTTCCTAAAACCTGAGGATAAAATTGAGTAGTTTTAAGCTCAACAGCTGAATGGATGATAGTGATTAAGTCCAGATCATTCACTGGACACTGCTTGCTAAAACAGCTTCACTGCTCACTTGTCAGCCCTCAATCTCTTATCTCTTTTTCTTTTTGGACTGGTGAAGCTATTTCACAGTGACAGCCTGGCTGCCAATTACCAGGAGGAGAAATGTAGCACTTCACTGTAAAGAGCAGCGATAATGTGAAAGGTATTCAGGCTCACACCAGTAAATGGAAGGTTGGTCCTGTGGAGCATCTAATAATATACACACATAATATGTTTGTAATGACAGAAAATCTATCACCTGACCTACAGCACATGTTGTGCCAAAGGGATTCAGCAGCTGTTTACAGCACACATGCTAGTTTCTCAGTAACTTGGCTTCCAAAAGGTTAAACTGAGCCAGTTTCTGCCAAGTATTAACAGCAATATCTGACATGAAGATATATCAACATTATTCTAAGGTCAGGCTTCCATTATTAACATGTTTTGAACCAATGACTTCCTCTGCCCCCTAACGTGTTACACAGCCTTCAACATGTTTGCCTCATTTCCCAACAAACTAGACAGACTTCTTAGTTTCTCACTAAACTTCCTCATTCATTAGGAAACGGCAGCAATAAGTAAACTTTAAAAAGATGGCAAACACTAGTGACACTTTGAGGATGGTTGTACGAGCCTTTATCCCAACAATTACAGCAACAATGTCATTTATATGGAATTAAAGGATGAGATTCAAATGAACCACCCTCGCAACCACAACTACATTTAATTTCACGCCTTCACTTGAGTTTGTCATTTAAATTAGCCAATGGGGGGAAGAAACATATACCCATAATACCACATAACACCTTTATATGCGAGCAGAAACAGTTGAAGCGCACCTGCGATTTTTCACCTGCCGCAACACCTGGAGGCTGACACTGAAACACGAAACGTAATGTATAAGATAATGTGTCAATATTGTTAATCTAATTTTACTGCGTATATACATCTTAACAAGATAGGCTACAGTGTTTCGCACTAGATCCAACTCACAGAACCCTTACCAGCCAATCGTTTTCTTCTGAGTAGTCGTGTAAAAATCTTTTCCTCAGTGTCTGCTGCAGTCCTCACAGAAAGCCCTCTCCTCAAGCTGCCGATCCCTAACAGCTGAATTTATGCGGTTAAGAGAAATATACGCAGTGTGTATTTCCACCACAGACCGACTGTGTACAACTGGAGTCTCTCCTCTACTGAGAGCAGCAAGAAGAAACCCTGTGTGTCTCTCTGTTCATGCCCTGCCTCTTTACATACAACCATGCCATTCAGTGAACCCCTGGATACAAAACCAGTGACTCCAGCATGCCCTCTGCAGGTCAGAACACTGAACAGAGGAACAGGCTAAAGAAGACTTCAGCAACAATAAAGATTTGTTTAATTTCATTACCTCAAATTACTGTGACAATATTATGTTATGTTTTCCAACTGCATAAGTAGAAATATTTTAAATTTGAAGTTTAAACCTTTGTTGCTGGTTGCATCATGAGAGTTTGGCATCCCTGTGATAATAATATACAGTAAGGAGGCATATAGCCTAGAACAATATAATAACTAGTAGCCTGTTTTATGCTTAAAGAACCTCTTCAGACATTAAGTCATATATAGATATATTCTCCTTGGAACAATAATGTGTCTTTTTCTGCATAAAAAGTCCATATTAAAATACTCCTTCTACCTCATTAAAAAGAATATGCAAATGTTGTTTGTTTGCATATTCAGTTTTGCTGCTGCTTTCCGACTTCACTATCCATCCTCAGTGTATGTGCACTGGTGGCTTCAGGTTTCTACATCTCACTTGTAGAAGTTGCATACTGGACCAGGACTGACGTTTTACAGCTTAAAAATCTGATTTCAATGAGCTCAGAAAAACTTTCAGCATATGATTGTGAAAACGTCCTTCTCCTGTCAAACTCTGCACAAACATCATTCTGCACAGTGGAGCTCAAACATCCAACAGTAGGGACGACAATTAAAACATATTTTTGAGTGGAGGGGAACTTTAATCAAAAATAAAAAAACTTACATTAGTTAGGCTACCTGATCTGTGTCTTCAATGGTATTGTACATGTTTGTTTGTATGGTTTTTCATTTGTTGGTATTCTTGTTTTGTCTTTTTATTTTCCTCTTATAACCTTATATTTTTTTAAATGAGGCATGATATCCACTCAACAGAACTCTGTATTAGTGATGTACATAGTTCACAATAAAAACATGTGAAAAAAGAATTTGTGAAGCTACAGGAGTCAGAAGCTTCACCATCACACTGAGCTGGCATCATCCAATCCAGGATCACCATTTAGGGGTACAGTCCCCCCCGAGTGACTGAAACAAATTCACATAAAACATGACGACATGTTGGTAACATGATATCACAATAACTAATAATCGGAATAAAGAATTTTGTGAATAACATGAATATATTTGATTACCCTGTCGCACTCTGTTTCCTTTTTTCTTTTTCCAGAAATACCAAAATAAGCCTACAATTAGCAGGGCAGCTGTGGAATGAAGAGATGGATATTTCAGGTAATTGTATCGATACACAATAAATGCAACACATTATAAAATTTTGATCTCACCTGATTGTCAACATTTGAAAGCCCTGAGCGAAAGCAAGAAGACAGAGGTTGGCAGAGTAAAAGCAAGTCAGGTTAGTAGCAAAAGGCATTATTTCTTCACTTGTTATTTTGTGCGCAAAGAAAGGAATCCTAAATTGTAAAGTAACTAAAGCTGTAAAATAATTGCAGTGGATTAGAAAGCACAGTATATCTAGCATGAGAGGAAAAGTACAAGTGCATAAGTACTTGAGTAAATATACTTAGTTACATTCCATCACTGCTTGTCCAGGATCAGAAGAAACATGACATTGGCAGACAAAGTATCAGATTCACTGGTGTTCAGAACTTACCAACTACAGCTCCACCAACAATGTATCCAGGTGTTGCGTGGTTCTTGTCTGGTGATGGTGTATTAGCTTGTAGAAAGACGAAAAAGTTACGGTCAAAAATAGTCAACCACAACAGCGAGCCGCATGATGTCATATATACATATATTCTCCTTGGAACAATAATGTGTGTCTTTTGACCATGACCACCACAAATTAAATTATTTTGTGTGAATATAAAGAAACCTTAAACTGTAAAGTAACAACAGCTGTTAAATAATTGCAGTGGATTAGAAAGCACAGTATTTCTCTCAGAAATGTAGTAAAGTATAAACATGAAGTGGCAGGGGAAGAAGTACTTTAGTAAATATACTTAGTTACATTCCACCACTGCTTGTCCAGGATCAGAAGAAACATGACATTGGCAGACAAAGTATCAGATTCACTGGTGTTCAGAACTTACAAACAGCTCCACCAATGTATCCAGGGGTTGCGTGGTCCTTGTCTGGTGATGGTGTAGTAGCTGGTGGAAAGACAAAAAATTTCTGGTCAAAACTGGTCAACCACAACAGTGTGCAGCTCGATGTAATGTGTGTGTCTGAATTAAAGGCTCACCACTGATAAAACGACAAATGTCACTGCCGTCTAGTTGGGAAAACAAGAGAAGTGTTACATGTTATTAGACAGAATGGCATCAGAAAAAGAAATGAGGGAAGGACAGATATTTTATCATTTTATACAATGTGACTATTGATTTAAGAAAATAATAATAATAATAATAACATTATAATAAATACATTTAAACCTAGAATTTAGTTTGGCATTGTGTGTTTAGTACAACTTCTTCTGAAGAGTACAATTATTTCAAGCCAGCAAAACTGACAGCAGAGAAATTCAAAAGCTAAAATGTAGGTTGTGGATTTTTGCAGTAAAGTGATTAAATTTCTCTCCCGCCACTAAAATATTAACAAACAGCGCCCTCAGCTGGAGTACTAAATTCTGACATGCAGAAATAGAAGAACAGTACTGAGGACTGAGTAGTGGCACTAATTATTAGTATTTTTACTCAGTAAGCCCACTTATTGAATGCTCACATTTAAATAAGAATACATATAAATCAATCTAATTTGGCATCATGACACTCCTATAAAACAGGGAACTGGTTTCCTGGGCTCTGCTGCATTTACCATTCTGCTTGATTTGGCTTCTCTGTCTTACCAGAAGTGTATCATCATTACATTGTTAATCAACTTTATGTGGCAGACAGTGGCCTGTACACAAAACCCTCATCTCCATCACACAGGTAGATATTTGGGTTTTTGGAAATTTTGAACAACTCCCAAAACGTTTGGTTATCTAACATAACCGCAGTTCTTAGAATAATATGAGCGAGGTGTCTCGCTATGGGATGCAGCCTCCTGCAGCCCTGATAGAAGCATTTATCTCAATCCTCCAATCTTGATTGGCCGGTGAAGGTGTTCATCCACGCAACGCACCCAGTAGTCCCACCTACTAAATAAAAAATGCTCGGCAGATACCACTTTGCTCAATTCAATAAGCAACCTCTTCTCAAACCGCCCAGCAAGAAGGGTTGTCTGGCGAGACACTCGCTCCATATTATTCTAAGAACTTGCAGTTATGTTAGATAACCAAACGTTCTTCTTCGATAATAATTCACTCCGGTGTCCCTTCGCTATGGGATTTGGTAAAGGAAAGGAGGCTCCCGTATTGCCGGACAGCTTATCGAACAAGTACCGGCTGGGGGGGGGGGGGGGGGGTCCATGGGTTTCCAGTTAGGAACTCCAGGACCGCGCTAGCCACGCACGCCTGACACGTCAAGCATGTAGAACGCGAACAAAAAGTCAGGGGGAGGGACCCAACCTCGCTCCCCTAATAAAGCCCCAGGATGCGGCCATCCCGCCGGGTAGATGGCGCACGCAAACCCCGCCCGGCGGCTGCAGACCCCTTGCTCCGGTATACGCCAAAGGCCATAGCCTCCACCACCCAGTGGGGGCAGGCGCTGCTTTGTGACCGGCTTGTCCCTTTCGAGGTTCCGCCCAGGAGACAAAAGAGCTGATCCCGCAATCCGTACACTGATTCTCTGTGTCCATGTCCATATAAAGCGCACCAGCTCGAACTGGACACAGCGTGTCGTGTATTCCGCCCGGGGCGAACTTGGCGCATGCCAGGGCTCACAAGAGAGCGCATGGATATCACTCACGTCGCTTTGCCGGAGGCGAGAGCCAGTAACAGCACTGTCTTAAGGGAAGGTGTTTGAGACTCGTTCCCAGCAATGGCTCCAAAATGGGGGCCTTTAAGCCCCTTCCCAGAACCACCTTTAAATCCCCACGGAGGCATCCCAGTGGTCTAAGAGACAGGGAAGAAGCCTGCGCGCGCCCGCTCATAAACCGGCACACCAAAAGGGTGTTGGGCCTGCTGTTTTGTCCCAAATCCTATATGGCAAGCCGCTAACAGCTGCCAGAAAACTTTAACCGTGGAAAAGGCTTTTCCTTTATCAATCAGTCTGTAAAAACGACAGTATCGTTGGCACCAGAACACTGAAAAGGGATATGGGCCCCGTTCGATGACACCACCGCTCAAACACCCCCACTTAAGAAGTCGTACAGAGACCTAGTGGAGGGAGCCTGGCGTTTTGTATAGTGTTAACCAACTCCTGAGAGAGACCAGCAGTGGTCAATTGAGTTGTGGGCTGGGGCCACGAAGGTGTCGTCCTTCCTCCCCTCGTCCCTCAAAAATTGATATGAAGAAGACGAGGGAAACGGGGAGCTCGGAACTGCTCGCACTGGGCGTCCCAGTCGTACCAGTCTCCGGAAATTCCCCGGCCATGTCCGTCGTCTTCCTCTCGCGGCCTGCGCCTTGTCAGCGTGGGGAGAAACGGGTCAACGGTCCAGCGAGGCTAACTTGCGGGTAGCTTGGGGGGGCCCCCCCCCCGGTTTCTGAGGCTCCTGACCGTGAAAGCTTTGGCAGTATCCACAGGACCCGGGAAATTTTCAAGGGCTACCTGGCGTGGTCAACCCCCAGGCAGGTACTGCACACCGGGTGGGTGTCCTTCCCCCGAGAGTTTATTTCCTGCAAGCGACAGAGCCGACAAGTCTCCTCCCTGGTGTGAGGATCCTTTGCGGTCCATTCGCCGACAAAGCTGGAGTGCTAGCAGGAAAGGGCCGTGGGCTAGCTGGTGTTGCTAGCGTGGGTCGAGAGGAGTAGCTGTGCTGCTAGCCTTAGCTCGACCGACTCGCGCGTCGTAGGTGGGAGCGCGAAGAGGAATTCCGCCGTGGAGGGGCTGGAAAAATACTCACTGGTCCGGTCTGCGTGTGAAACGGACAAGGCAAGAAGCCAGAGCACAAACACTAGCGTCCGGTGACGGAAGCTAGCAAGATCACTCTAGTGAAAAGTTAAGCAGTGAAGCTCCGACCGTGAGATAAGCTCTCA